CCCCGCTGACCCCTCGGTGCCCACCCCGCTGACCCCTCGGTGCCCACCCCGCTGACCCCTCGGTGTCCCCTCGGTGCCCGCCCCGCTGACCCCCGTGCTCTCCCCGCAGGTCTCGGACCCCGAGCCCGGCTCTTCGGCCGACGCTGACAGTTGGGTCTGGGGGCGTCGGGGTCCCGCGGGACCCGAGCTGGGCCTTTGGGGACATTCGGGGCCAGCTGGGGACGCTTCTGGGGACATTGTGGCCCTTTGGAGAGATTTTGGGGCCTTACAGAACATTTGGGGATATTTCTAGGGCAGGGCGGTTGGAATAAGGCGTTTGGGGATATTGTGGGTCTTTTGGCGTTGGTTAAGGGATTTTTGGGGAGGTTTCTGGGCCTTTTGGGACTTTCAGGGGCATTTGGGGGACATTCCAGGGGGGTTTTGGGATGAAGGGGTGGGGTCGCTTTGCCGGCTGTGTGGGAACACTGGGATGTCCCCGCAGTGGAGCTGCTGCGGACGCTCCTCTCCCGGACCCTGGGGCTCGGCGGGGACAAACCGGAGCCGGTGCTGGACGAGCTGAGCCTGCCGGGCGTGAGCCGGTTCCTGAGGAGCGACCGCTGTAGGGACCCCGGGATCGGGAATTTGGAACGGGAATTGGGCTGGGAATGGAGAACAGGCCAGTTCCCAAAGGGTGACCGCTGTAGGGACCCCGGGATCGGGAATTTGGAACGGGAATTGGGCTGGGAATGGAGAACAGGCCAGTTCCCAAAGGGTGACCGCTGTAGGGACCCCGGGATCGGGAATTTGGAACGGGAATTGGGCTGGGAATGGAGAACAGGCCAGTTCCCAAAGGGTGACCGCTGTAGGGACCCCGGGATCGGGAATTTGGAACGGGAATTGGGCTGGGAATGGGGAGTGGGACTGGGAATGGGGATTGGGACCGGGAACGGGGATTGGACTGGGAATGGGGATTGGGCTGGGAACGGGGATTGGGCCGGCTCCCGCAGGGCGAGAGCTGCAGGGACACCGGGAATGGGACGTGGAACGGGAGCGGGGCGCAGCGGGAACTGCACGGATCTGGGGGCTCGCTCCGGGGAGGAAGGGGCGATTTGGGGTTCACCCCTTTGTCCCCCCACCCCCCCAGGTAAGAATATCGTGTGCATGGTGGGCGCCGGCATCTCCACCTGTGAGTGTCCTTTGTGGAGGGCCCTGGGGGGGCTCAGGGACACCTGGGGGGCTCGGGGACACCTGGGGGGCTCAGGAACACCTGGGGGGCTCAGGGACACTGGGGGGGCTCGGGGATACCTGGGGGGGCTCCGAGACACCTGGGGGGCTCGGGAACACCTGGGGGGGCTCAGGGACACCTGGGGAGATCGGAGAAACCTGGGGGGGCTCAGGGACCCCTGGAGTGGGTTCTGACCCCCCCACCCCCCCCCACCAGCTGCCGGCATCCCGGATTTCCGCTCCCCTGGCACCGGGCTCTACTCCAACCTGCAGAGCTACAACCTCCCCTACCCCGAGGCCATCTTCGAGATCAGGTTCTTCAAGGTATCCCCGTTTCTTCCCCAAATTCTTGGGAGGGTCCCTGATTTTCTGGGGCCCCCCCCCGACCTCCCTGTGCCCCCCCAGAAACACCCGGAGCCCTTTTTCGCCCTCGCCCGCGAGCTCTACCCAGGGCAGTTCAAGGTAAAACACCCCCAAACCTCTCCCCGACCCCCCGCTCCACTCAGAGGGGGCCGTGGGACCCTCAGCTGACCCCCAAATTCGCCCCCAGCCCACCGTGTGCCACTACTTCATGCGGCTGCTGCAGGACAAGGGTCTCTTGCTGCGCTGCTACACCCAGGTGGGACACGACCCCTCCCTCCCAGCCGGTTTGGGGGGGATTTTGGGGACCCCCTGACCCCCCTTCGCCCCCCCAGAACATCGACACCCTGGAGAGGGTGGCGGGGCTGGACCCAGAGCTGCTGGTGGAGGCTCACGGCACCTTCTTCACCTCGCACTGCCTGCGGCCCTCGTGCCGCCAGCGCTACAGCCTGGCCTGGATGAGGGGTACGGGGGACTCTGGGGAACCCCCCCGAGCGCTGGGGGACCCCCTGGGCCCCCCCTTCCCTCTGTACCCTCCCCCAAATGTCCCCGTGCCCCCTTTCCCCACCGGGCTTCTCCCTCCTCCTCCTTCCCAGAGCGGATTTTCTCCTCCCTCGTCCCTAAATGCGAGAAGTGCCAGGGGCTGGTGAAACCTGGTGAGTTTTGGGGGGCGCGAGGGGAGGGGGGGGGTTTACCCCGACCCTCCCCGCAATGCGCCACTGACCTGCCCCCTCCCCCAGACATCGTGTTTTTTGGGGAGAGCCTCCCCGCGCGCTTCTTCGCCCTGCTGGAGTCGGTGAGTGGGGCTTGGGGGGTCCTGAATCCCCCCCCTCCCTCCCAGCCTGCCTGTGGGGCTGGGGGGGTGCTGAGGGAACCTGGGGACCCCCCCCACCTCCCCACCAGTGACATCCCCTCCCTCACCAGGACTTCGAGAAGGTTGACCTGCTGATCATCATGGGCACCTCGCTGCAGGTGCAGCCCTTTGCCTCCCTCATCAGCAGGTGAGACCCCCCCCAAACTCCCCAGATACCCTCCAAACCCCCAAAAACCCCCCAGACCCCAACAAACCTCAGACCACCCCTCTGACCCCCCCAGACCCCCCCAGCCCGTGGGGAGCCCCCTGTGACTGTCCCCTCCCACAGGGTCCCAACCAACACCCCCAGGCTCCTCATCAACAAGGAGAAGACGGGGCAGGTGAGGCCGGGGGGAGGTTGGGGGGCACCGAGGGGGGCTGAGGGCGGCCGCCTCCCCCTCCTCACCACCTCTGCCCCCCCAGGGTGACCCCCTGATGTCCCTGATGGGCTTTGGTGGGATGGACTTCGACTCGGACAAAGCCTACAGGTGCGGCAGGCGGGGGGCTCTGACCCCGCCCCGGGTTTTTGGGAACGCTTGGGAGACTCGGGATGGTTTTGGGGAGCCCTGAGGGTGGTTTGGGGTCCTTGCCTCAAGGTTTGGGACACCCCCAGTTAGTCTGGGGTCACTCGGGGTGGTTCTGGGCAGCCCGGAGGTGATTCCAGGGTTTTGGGGTGCCCGTGTCTCTGCAGGGACGTGGCCTGGCTGGGGGACTGCGACAGCGGCTGCCTGGCTCTGGCTGAGCTCTTGGGCTGGAAGGTACCCCCGCACCTTCCCCCACCCGCGAATTTTGGGGGTCCCCCTGCCCCCCAAACCCTTCGGGGACCCCCCTGAGCCCCCGTGTCTCCCCTCAGGAGGAGCTCGAGGAACTGGTGCGCAGGGAACACGCGGCCATCGATGCCAAGGCCAGGGAGCCCCCCCAGAAACAGCAGGGGCATGAGGACAAGGATGGGGGGAACCCCAAAAAGAGCCCGGGGGACAAGGAAAAAGCTCCAGGCGACCCCAAGAAGAGCCCCAGGGACAAGGCCAAGGCTGAAAAAGACCCCAAGATGCCCCAGGGGGACAAGGAGAAAACTCAAAATGACCCAGAAAAGTCACAGGGGGGGCAGTGAGGACCTTCCCCACAGCACAGCGGGGACAGCCCGGAATTAAATGGTCACAGAGGAGGTTTTGGCTTTCTGTGGTCACCGTGGGGTGGAGGGCCTGGGGCTCTTTCTTTCCTTGAAGGAAGTAAGAGAAAAACAAAATAAAAATACAGGAAATGGGAAAAGTAAGTTAGAAAAGGAGAGGGGGAGGCTGAGGGCGCAAAAAGGGTTTTTTCCTCCCCAAAAAGGGGTGCTGCAGCTCCAAAATGTGTTGGAACTCACAGGAAGGGTGTGGGGGGATGTGTGTGCAAAACACTGAAACCCGTGCAGTTTCTCACTTTTGTATCTACTGAGAAATAGCATTAATTTCCATTAAAAATCGGTTTCCTTATAAAACTGTCTGCTGTGTGATCCCTGTGGTTTTGGGACGGGAGGAAGAGCGGCCGTGGGTCTGTGGGGTTGGAAAATGCCAATTTTGGAGCGGCAGGTGGGGATCATTGTCCAGTGGCCGGCAGCTCCAAAATCCCCCAGCGAAGTTCCTGGAGAAGCTGCCCCAGATCTGAAATTATTTGGGGGGATTTAATTTCTTTTATAGAGCATTGGGTTCTCTTTATGCGTCAGGGTAGTGGCAGAGTTTTGTTTGGGTTTTTTTTTATAAATATTCAGCATCTGGTTTGGAGTATAGGAAGTTAGTTTAAAGGTTTTTCTTTCTTTTTAGTGGTTTTTGTGTTTTGCTGTGTGGGTTTCTACAGGTTTTTTTTAAAATTAGTATTTCATTTTTGTGATGTGATAAGAGCTGCTAGTGAAAGGAGTGTAGTGCGGGTTTTTTTGCTGGTAGTTGGTTGGCTGGTGGAGCCTTTCTGAATTTTTTCAACAGTATTGTTGGGAATTTGATGCTGTTTGTTTTGGCATTTTATTTTTAGGAATTGGATTATAACTGCAAGGTTTTAACTATAACTCTAATGAAACAAAACAAATGCATAAATATGAAAATGGGAATATAAAACTTCATTTTTAAATATAAATGGAATACATATGAATAAAACATGTAACATAAATAATGTTATTCATTACTATTAGATAGTATATTGTTTGATATAGAGTATTTTATTTTTTATATCAATACATATAGATTATAAATATAAACAAAATCCATATAGAGATGTATAATTAATACATGTGGATATATAAATATAAAAATTACAAAACAATAGGAATCAATACAGTACATAATGCATATTTTACTGTATATGTCTTATTAAAACACATTAGATGTCCTAAATATTATATATCAAAATACAGTACCTACATATATTGTGATAGAATATATAAGTACTTGTAAAAATCAAAAATAGAAATAAATAAACATTTAAATATAGTTTAAAATAAAGGGGATTTTATTTTCTATTTGGTAGTAGGTAGGGGTTTTATTATAAAAATTATGAATAAAAATAAAATTAGAAATCTTTGTATAGAAATATATCTTAAATATGTTAGGATCTATATAAAAATTCAAAGGTGAGTAAATATACGTATTAGCAGTATGTACGAAATAGAATTTAAATAAAAACTTATCTATCTTGTTACCTCATTATATATAATATATATTTATAAAGACATCGATATAAAGTAGAACTGCAAATGTGACTATAATGATGAAAAAAAAAAAATTCAAGTATTGTTTATAGAAAGGGCTTTTCTTTGTTTTTATTTGGTTTTAATGGAAATAATATCAATATACATTTTATTTTGATATCGTTCTAAATATGGAAATATATATTCAATGTATACAGATTTACATAGTAATATAGAATAGAAATAAAAATAAGTATTAGGAAGAGATAGACTATAAATAACACCATACATCAATCTACATTTAAAATGTAAATTTGAATATAAATGCGAAAAATAGAGAAAAATTTAAACGGAGTTTAAATAAAGGTTTAAATAAAATTTAAATAAAATATTAAAAAATATTTTTTAAAAGATTTTTACTTGGATAGAGGCAGGGGTTTATTTTAAGCAATATAAACCTTCTAGAAATCTAAATCTAACTATAGAAATATGTAAGCAATATATTAAGATATGTATAAAAAATAAAATAAAATATAATAGGAATAAATGGAAGAAATTCTAAAAATACAATTATACATTAATATACATTATAAATCCGAATGTGAATGTAAATAATATAAAAATAAAATAGATTGAAAGGCAGTTGAAGAGGAAAGGTTTTTTCTTTCGGTTTTTTGTTCCGTTCTTTTCCGGAGGGGGACGGCGCAGTGCTGCCGCCGTGTGGGCAGAGAGCGGCACTGCAGCCCGCCGCCCGCAGCCGCCATCTTGGGAGTGGCGTGGCGCGGACTCTCTTGACCTTCTCGAGAGGGCGCGAAAACGAGGACGTTGAAATTCGAGGACCCGTGTCTGTTTTTTACACCGCCTGAATTGCCCGCACCGCCGGCGCCCCGCGACGGGATTTTCCGCGGAGGTTCGGGTGTCCTGCACACGGGCCGTGGGGTCAGCAGCACCGCAAGCGTGCGGGTTTTTGGCGGGAGCCGACAGGCATCGGCATTAAACGCCTGTCACCGTCAAGGTCCCCACGGGCCGCCATCTTGTCGCGGACACTCTTGATAAGTGCTGCCGCCTTGTGGACACAGGGCGGTACTGCAGCCCCGCAGCCAGCGCGACCCCAAAACCACCGGGACGGGGCGGGGGGGCCACGACACTACAGGGGGGCTGTTTTTGCGGGGGGAGCAGTGGGAGGGGTTCGTTTCCTCCGTTTTTAAAAATCCCTTTTTTTTTTTTTTTTTTTTTTTTTTTTTTTTTTTTTTTTTTTTTTTTTTTTTTTTTTTTTTTTTTTTTTTTTTTTTTTTTTTTTTTTTTTTTTTTTTTTTTTTTTTTTTTTTTTTT